ATAACTTATTTTAGGAAAAGCTCTGAAAAAAAAATCTGTAGGAAAGATTAGTGAATAGATCTTTCACTTTTAGATTTGTCTGTTCAAGGCTGCTGCAATGGTACATGTAAGACCAATCTCAAAACATCTGCAGTACTCTGCCTGAATGTGATGGGCACAGGGCAGGGATGAGGCTGCAGCCTGCACTCTGAATTTGTACCCATACACTGTTTGAACAGATGTTTTTCTTTTTATTGAAAGGGAGCTTTTTAATAATGGAACTGAGCTTTAGTCTCTAACCAGCTACTGATTGATTTTCCATCACCAGACAGGCACAGAGAGACACACAGGAAAACTTGGTTTGTGCCCTGTTAAGTGGCTTGCATGTCTGCCTGTGCACCTGCCTGTCTGCCTGTGCACAGATACACAGCCAGGCACCCACCCAGGCAGGCACACAATACCCGCAGGGATGCACCAGCTACACAGCCACATGAGGCTGCATTTATGTGTGGCACGAGACTTAAAGTGAGATCTCTTAAGTTAAGATTGGGTCCCCTGGTCTGAACCACACTGAAGTGGGACACTGTGAATGCTGCTTGTGGCTCCGTCTTTGTGCTTTGCTCAGAGAGTTTTCAGCAGATGTGCCAGAGGGGTGTGGTGTTTTACATATACCATATCATATGGCCAGTCATGCCTAGGCTCAGGGAGAAGGGCAACAAAAGGATGCAATTTATGCGTTGATTGTGGCTTTTGTCGTGTTCATCTAGGCTCTTATGTTCATTTCCATCTTCTGGAGTCATGTCCAATTTACCTTACTTTCTTCTTTGCAAGTTTAAAAATAGCAGAGAGCAAAAGAATTACTCTTAGCAGTGCCCAAGAGTCAACATAAACCCGTGAGCAACTGCTGTGTACAGGCACTGAGTGTGTGCTGAGCGTGTTTAAAGCATAAGGACAAAATCCTCCTCTGCCATCAGCAATGCAGATCTTTTATTTACACGGTGACAGTCCCTGTGCATGTTTCACACTCATGCTTCGTGCAAAACTCCCCTTCGCAACCATGCAGAATGAATGCAGAATGTATAATTGAGATCTGCAGTGCAGGTGAGTGATTTCCCAGTGCCGACCCAAGAGGAAAATCGAGCCTTGCACATTGTGTCAGCGATGTCCAAGCAACACAGACTTGCATGTGTGTGCTCGCTCACCCCAATCAGATTGGATTTTTGCCTCCAAGATTGCAGCACAGTTCTTGAGGTCTGCTTTGCCTTAGTGCCAGTGGTGGCTGTGCCTTTTGTGGCAGGCAGGGGCTTGCAGGGGTGTTTTCTTTTTGAAACCTGTGTGCAACGTGATGTGGTCAATCAGCTGTAGAATTCCAGAGACTGGATCCCCTCCCTCACCTGGTGCTATGTGGGTTGCATGGAGAACTCTCAGCACCACCTTAGGATACTGTCTGTCTAACTCTTTCTGTTTATCTTTTTATCTGTTTGTTCATTTTGTGTTTGTACATCACCTGTAGCAGTTAATTGGAGTGGTAGAGACCCTATCTTCATTTTCAGATTTAAGTGAAGCATTTATGGGGAAAAAAATCCCACAGGAGAGGAACTGGAGAGGTAAAACATAGACATGTTCCTAGCAAACACAAGCCGAGTGCTTCTGAGCATGACTTATTCTTTCTATAGCTATGAAGAGGTATCACATATCTATCTAATAGCGCAGCTCTCCCTTTCTCCATACCTTTCCTTGAGGCCAGTGGATACGATTACCCTCTTCATAATTTGCCATCTGATTCTATAGGACTGTCCTTATTCCTGAGAAAGAAGCAAAACCAAAAGTGATAGCAATGAGGAGGAGGAATCACTTGCTTTGATTTTGCTTTTAGGGTCAGACAGCCTCCTGGTCACCTGGCAGCCCTACATTCTTTGTCTCTTAGTGCTGAACTCAGGAGTGGTGGGGCTCCAGAGTCTCTCTTTGTCTGTTCTTCTTCTCCCTTACCAAGCCTTTCCTTTCTGACAGTAGGTCAGCATTTTTTAGATTTCCACATATATACATTAAAGGACAGAAAAAGACCTTCTAAGTGACACGTTCAGTTCCATCCATTCACTGGCAACTAGTTCATATAGTCCTTCCTGTAAATTTGTTAGGTACCTTGTTAAAGCAGATTGCAGGCTCACCCCTAGTACCTCTCTTGGAAGGCTCTTAGAGGATCCCTTCGCTCAGATCATTAGAAACCTCCTTTTTGAAACCTTAATTCCCTTTCCACACTAGAGGAGATATATTGCATAAGAGCAGGGAAGGCTTCCTTGTACCCACTTGGTGAGCTCTGAGCATCTTCTCAGATGCCTCAGGGCTGTGCAAATTGGATCGAATTCATTGCCAATGGACAGGTGGGACCCACCAGGACTAGAGCAGAGGCTGTTGCTCTCAGGGTTGTGTTGCACCCTAGGACCTGTGCACCTCCATGTTAAAACCTCATGCACTTGTGATTGATGGTGCACTTGGCAGGCTTCATATGGTTCCTCTGTGTTATGAGCTCCTTCAAAACCTATAGTGTGGCACCACCATGTGCAGCAGGGCTGAGTGACTGCAGCAATGCTGGGGCCACAGACATGTCTAGGGGTAACCTGAGATGTAGCTGCCCTGTGGTCCTAGTCGAAGTCCTGATTTCAAGCTCACAACTTTCCCACCAAGGAGGAGTGCCCAAGGCAGCCCAGGAAAGCAGAGTTAATTTTGTAATATTAGGAAAACAATATAAAACTGTTAAATGATCAGAAGGGATTTTTGTTATTTTTGCTTGTTCCATGGAAAAAACCAATCTTATTATTCATGCATGTTACAGTGGCAGTAGAGTGGTTCATACAGACATAGAAATCAATGTCTGATATCAGTTTCCACATGCTTGGTGTCCAGCCCTGCACAAAATGCAACGTAGGTACAATCTGGGTAGTAGTTATCGTTACCTGCTTGTGTAGTATTTCCAGGGAGATCAAACAGTTACAAAAGCCAAGCAACTGAGCCCCCCAAATAAAAAATCCTTCCTCCTCTCACAAGCCACATAGATGGCTTCTATTTAAAACCAGTCCTCACAAAAGAGCACAAATTTTATCCTTGATGCTTGAAGCTCAAGTATTTACACAGGGAATTTAGACTCTTCACTTGTGGTTTTGGCAAAAGCTTCACACAAATGTTTTGCACTGGTGGTCTCTTAGCCATTTAAGATAAACGACAAAATCAAATGCAGTCCTTGCAGATTGGAGCGCTGGATGCTGTGCCAAGGATGAAGTATCCCAGTTTGCCTCACATGTGTAGCTGTCAGATCAACATGCAGACCTAAGTTTCTGAAATGGGACTGCTGAGGTGGAGAGACTTGGAAAATGTTGCTTTTTTAGAGTTGGAGGGAGCATGGATAAATATTTCTCCTTGCTGCCGCAGTGTAGGCTCCTTTAGAAAATGTTTTTTTCTAGGGTTGGAGGGAACACAAATAAATATTTCTCCTTGCTGCAATGGTGTTTGCATGTATCTGCAAGGCACACATGCATGGACAGCCAGAATTGCCACCATTAAAAAAGAGAGAGTATTTGCCAGAAGATACCCCATAATTAACACACATATTTCCTGATCTAAATACAGGGGGAAACTGTGGTTTCTGATCTACCACTGTGCGGTAACTGTTGGCAAATGCCAGCTTTTTAATGGCGACCACTCCACCACATATCTTCGTTTAGAAACTGCCCTTGATTAGTAGCTACCCTTTATTTAATAATTAAGTGGCAGACATAGTTTTAAATGAAGGGGATGGGATTCTCGGCAGATGTAAAGCGATGCCAATCGCTCAACTTCCCTTTAAAATCTGCTGATTCGTGCCAGCCAAAAATGTGACTCCTACTTGATACTGTGTGCATGTGTATGTTTGTGTGTATCTGTATTTGTGCAAGTGTATATCGATATTTGAGACTTGTATCTTAGTTTTTCCAAGCGGCAGAGCTCGGTTTGGACTAATGCCAGGAGGAGCGAGTGTTTCCAGCAGAGCAGGAGAAAACTCTTAAATACAGCTTTTAAACGGCAGGTGATTCCTAGAGGGGTTAAAGATAAATAATACGGTTGGAGGTTACAATATCATCTTTTAGCTACCAGGAGAAAGGTTACTCCTTTCTTCTCAGGCTTGATAGGGCAGCACCCTGCATAATCGGGGCGTGCAAAATGCACAACTGGCCGCAGCTCAAGCGGAAAGGCAGCACAGTGGCCACCAATGCTTTCTTCTGGGAGCTTGACTCCTGGCACCTCGCTGAAGCCATTTGAGCTCTAAGTCACCACAGTTTGTTTGAGCTGGTGTGTGGAGTCCGCTTCAGCGGCAGCTCGGCAGCAAGCCTGCCCAGTTTTGTGTCAGCTCAATGCATTAACACAGCCTTAAAACAATAATCCCCCTTTTCATTCGGTCCCTGAGCAAGTGCTGGTGGTGACGTCCACCGCCTCTGGCTCTGCTCCATGCCAGAGCCGGCCACCCCCACAACTTCGCCCCTCTCTGTGCCCCCCATGGGCCCCTAACCCTGGTTCGCGGGTCACCCAGGTCTCTTCTTGCTCTTCCCCCGCTGCGGCACAAACCCACCAGCCTCAGCCGGACCCAGAGAGGGGTTCAGACCAAGCGTGTCGTGCGTTAGGCTGCAAGCCCCCGCCTTGCCTGTTTCCCCTGATGATGCCTCCTCTATCCCTTCAAACTTAGATCCAACTGACAGTTTTTTCTATTGTTTTTTCTCCAGGGCCGTCCAGGCCTGCAAACCTGCCGGGGGCTCCCATAGCTGCCTCCTCCCACCCTCACACATCCGTGATCACGTCACCTCTCCGCGCACTGGCCTCCCTCCCGCCCTGCCTTAGCCTGCCCTGCTGTGGTGCACGTGCAGTCTCAGTTGGCGGGACTCAGACTGAGATTCAGACTGAGACGTCAGGCACATTTGGATGTCATTGTCAGTTGTCAGGTAATAGAAACATTTTTTTTTTTGTTGCTATCTGAAGGTCAGTAGTGCTGCCAAGTGATGTCGTCTTTGCTGTGGGAGAGCTGCCTTCACTGAGTTGCGTGGGAAAGGCAGAAAAAATGCCCTAAACCACCCCACTCCCCTTCTTCCTGCCTCCTTCCTCCTCTACCCAGGTGGAGGATGGGGAGTGGAAAGGGCGTGCAACTCCCTCCATTTCCCCATCCCTCCCCTCCTGCCTGTCCACCTTCAGCTGTCACCAGTGAGCACTGCCGGGAGGTTTCTACCATGCTGTGAACAAATGTCTGAGAGTCCTCACAGAATGTGATACCCCAGTATTGAGATTTCGTCTCTCTGGGCTGTTTATTTTGAGCTTAACTGGATAACATTTAACATCTGAGGTATTCTTTTTCCTCCTCCTTTTTTTCCCCCTCCTTCACCAATCATTTGTATTAAGGGCTCTCCTCCGCGTCCATGTGCACGCAGGCTGTATGTGCTCCATGCCGTTTTCTCCCTTGCTTTGAGAAAATGCTCCTTGGTAACTTGCCACACATCCCTCGCCTCTCCCCCATCAGCTTTTCTTTTCCTTTATTCTTTTTGGGTGCCTGACTTTTGTCACTGTGAGGAGGGGAAAGTGATGTGGAAATGAGGGTGCGCTGAGCTAGCCAAATAGGACATGGACATATTGTTGCCAGACCCCATCATTTCAGACCCAGCGATCTCTTTGAAATCAGTGGGTGTTTCTGAGCGCGGCTCAATTGCAAGATTGGGTCTAATAGTGAACTGCAGGCTGGAGAGGTGAAAATGGGGAGGGCTTAAAAGAAAATACAGCTGTGGCAAAATCCGCAAGCGTTTATAGATTCTCACTGTGGTGGGCCAAACCCTGCAGCCCTCATTCATGTTTGTTAGTGTGCATGGAGTTTTAATAGGGAGTTCCCAGAATGATGCCAGATAAGTAATTCGTGAGGACCAGAGGGCTTAGAGAGGCAGCAACGACTGTCAGGAGTAAAACCTTTGGGAAATGGCTCTTCATGTCCCCCTGAACTAGCAAAGCGTTGCTATGCTCAGCTTTTTCCTTCCACAAGCAGTGGTACCACCTGCCTGCAGTACGCTAGATCTCATGAGAACATAGCTGTACATCTCTTGTTGTTGTAATAAAGCATAAAGCAAGGCAAAAAGTTTTGCAAGTTTACATTTGCCTCTTGGAACTCCCCAGTCTTGAAATATAAAATATTCTCAGGTGAAGGCTGAGAGCACCCTGCAGGGTCCTGGTTTTACCTTGGGTGAAGCTCACGGTGTGCGAGGAAAGCTCCTGTGCCACCTGGGAGAGGCTCAGCCTGCACCCAGCCGCTTGCGCCAGGGGGCAGGCACTGGGCTGGCAGCACCGTGCTGCGTGATGCAGTCACTGCATCCAGGGTATTTGGTCAGACTTCCGATCTGAACTGCCCTACGCGCCATGGGGGATGCTACTTTAATCAGGCTCTGCTTCATCAGCCTCAGCAGACTGGCCAGTTGGCTTGAGAGAGTGTAGAGATGGGCCCTTCCAAATGGTGAGTGCTGGATCGGAAAGTCTGATAGCTCCCCTGCCTCCGTCCTTTCCCTGCTTCCTGTAATCAGTAAACTAAACTGGAACTGATCTCATGTTTTGCTGTTCTCTGTCTTCACTGGTGCAGTATGCGTGCAGGTGCCTTGGGTAGGCAGGTAGGTGTAACACTGAACTCGATGCCCTGGTTCCCTGTGGCTTCTGATGCCAGCAGCTAGCGGGGAGGGAAGCAAGTACAACTAAAAATAGAAAAGGAAGGAATAACTTATTAAAGAATGCGGGAAGGCAAGGCTTTTGTGCTTTGCGTACTTTAAGTTCTCACTTTGGAGTTGTGTGCTGTGCGTTTTCAGAATTGCCTGTTTGCTGGGAGAGCGGTGCCAGCTCTGTGGAGAGAGAGACCTGTTATCATGGCTTCCTGTAATTACGGCTGCAGTCTGCGACACTTAGAGAATAGGTTATATCAAAGTGCATGCTACATGTTTATGACAGTAGTTGGTCAAGTTCTGCTTGAAAGAAACATTTTCTTCCCTTGAAAAAGGAGATTATGTCTACTTAACCCTTTCTTAGCTCCCACAGTATTCACCACATATGGGCACGGTTTAAATCCTGTGACAAGGGTTACGGGATCTTTCTGGCCCCAAAAAGTTTTATGGAAGTGAAAGAAAAATGACTTTTTTGTGTTGACTAATAATCTAGTGATGATCCCGGCATTGTGCTCTCTTTTTAATATAGACATTTGCAACAGTCACTTGCTTCAGCTTTAGAGATCTGCTTGTCTCTCTGACTTGATTAGCTTTTTATTCTGTCAGCCTTTTTTTTGCTTCTGAAGAATTGTTTCCTTCTTTGAACAAAAGCCATCAATGGTTCCCGCCTCTCCTCCTCCTTCATCATTTATTACCTTTCCTGTTTTTCAGCATTCATTTAATGAAGGACTTAAGAGTTTTTCCATGCAGGTTTCAAGCAGGCTGCGACTCTGAAGGCTTGAAGTTGCAGGTACTCCCAAATCTCTGCTGGGTGCTCACAAATCAGGCCCTCAAGAATCCCAGCAGTTTTGTGCTGGAGAATCTAAACTCCTGGCTGCCAGTGGGATTTAGGGTACACATATGTGAAAACTGCATTTGGAAATCTCCAACCCAGATAAGAGCGATTGCTTGAAATGCTGAGTAGCATTCAGTCGTGCCCAGGGGAAGTTGCGCTGCTTGCAATCTTTAGAAAACGTGCATCCAAGAGTAGTTCCAATAACAGTAAATGATGCTGGGAAGTCTGCTTGACTGTCCAGTGTGTCACTTGGCCTTTGCTGGTCACGGACCCTCTGTCTTTGCTCAAGTCTTTGTGTTCAACCATAGAATGAGGAACTTACTAGTAAAGGTCCATATTTTACCATGTGATTTAAAAAAAAATAATCTACCACTGGAACAATCTCTCAGTCTCTTTATTTATTTATTTTTGCCTCAGAGGCTTCTGTCTGTTGAATTAGGTTCTCCTGTTTAAATGTTTTTAGTGCCTATTTAATTAGAAGTTGGAAGAGAGTCATAAAATTCACAGGGTTGTGTAGCTTGGATCTAAAATATAAATGGGCAAAGCATTCATTTTGCTTTACCCCTTGCCAGATTAGGTTGCCTTTTTGAGCCTGCTTTTTATTTAATTTCAATGAATTGCAACTGCTCAGAGTAACTGTAAAACACACACAGTTTTTTTTTGCATAACAGACACATGCAAATGATTGTTGAGAGACATAATTATGTAAAGAAAAGTATATGCCCGTATGCATGCACACAATCACTGTGATGCTTTTTGTGGGGCTATTTTTTCACAATACATCTTCATAAGGCTCTTTTTATGATGCTGATTTATTAATATTGTACATTAAGGCTTAAATTGTCAAAGCTGCCTAAGAGATTTGGATGCCCATTTCCCATTAAAGTTAACGAGAAATGAGCTTTGAAAATCTCAGCGCAGAAGTGCATGGCACTTTACAGTGTGCTCTCCGAAGAAAAAAGTCCCTGCCCTGAAGATCCTTCAGGGCAAAAGCCCCCAGACTGGAATTATAATCACCATAAGACAAAGAGGATTGTAACAGCACAGATAATAATTTATCTCCTATGCCTCCATACAGATATACCTGATCCAAAATCTTTGGACCTGGGCCCACAAGTGAGAGTTTTATATACCTCCATAAAAATAATTAAATCTGTCCAATACACATATATTCAGCTAACCAGTGAAACTGCTTCCTTCCCACATGTAGGCTGATGGAAGGAGGTGGAAAGTAATTACAATACTTAGTTGCATATATAAAACCAGCAAGTCGGCATGGACAGCAGTGATTAATGGACAGGGCTGTGAAGTTTAAGGTCTAAACCAGAGGAAGGCATAGGGCCATAGCTCAGAAGAGAGAAACAAGCTCCTGTTATATCAAAGAATCAGCTGTGTTAGTCATTAGGACATTCTGAAAATCATCTTGTAAAGTTAATGTCAATTTACTTGGCTACTGAAATACTACTTACTGAATCATTTAACTAGTCTGGTGTTTTCTTGGCAAAGATTAGGGTGACAGTAAAGGTAGAAGAAGTACCTGTAAGTAAATAATAGGTTTTAAAAGAATAGTTTTCACTCTTTCAGTTATATCACTGTGTTCATTTTGTATTGGTTTTATAACCAAAGTCGTCCAATAAGAAGAGCTATATTAGACCACCCTGCTGTAAAAAGCTTGATGCAATTAATACAGTCTGTCTAGAAAGCAGTGTTATTTCAAAAACTTTTATGTTAATGATATGGTATGCACTCAGCACATTTCTTACTAGAAGAAGAAGCAAGCTTTTGTTCACTTCAGACTGGGTTTTATTAACACAGGAGGATCAATGGAAAACAAAACAGTAATCAGAGCAGAGAGTGCAAACTCATCCAGCAAAAACCTTCTAACTCATGAAGTCCCAGGATGATGGCTAATACGCTACTCTTCATTTTTTGTTGAGTGGAATTAAAAAAAAAATAAAGTCCAGTAAAACCTGATTTCTGATCAGCACCGGGTGCTTTTTTGTGAAGAGAAAGAAGAATTGGGTATATGTGTCTGAGGCAGACAAAGACCTATAGTTTCCCCGAGACCCTTTGTAAATGTTTCTTTTCATTTTGCTGCATAAAGAAGTGGTTTCTCATAAAGTACTGGCTAACGTTCAGGAGAGATGTCCCTATTAGTCATGTTTACATGTATTTATTTATTTATTTTAGTGAAATATTTAATGCATCCTATAGCAGAATTGAGATAGTACTTACAGAGTGCAGGGATGTGTGAGAGATGTATATTCTAAAAATGGTAATGCATCAGAATGAGTGTGTATGCATCCATCTTTTCATCTATCTATCAATCTATGTGTTCATCCATCTATCCAAGTATTAAAATCATATGTGACCTGTCTGTCTATGCAGCTCTCTGTCTCACCAGACGTTAAAATCATATCCGACC